CCCCCCCCCCCCCCCGCGGTAAAGAAATGTCATTTGGCACACTCAAGTGGCTGGAGAATAACAAGAGTTTGTTACGGTTTAGATTTGTTCTTGGAAGTAAAAAAAGTTCTTGCCCCTCATTCTCATTGGGGCCTTTGGTTCATGGGTCCATGTTGTTTGAACCATGAGCTCATTCCAAACCAGTGTTTGGATGCACAAGTTTTGGCCTCAGTTTGAACCATGATGTGATGTTTATAAACCAGCCAAACCAGAATAATCAGAACTTAACCTTCCACATGAATTCATGTGGTTTGAATCCATGTTCCAAACCGCACTTTTCAAGCATTATAGTTCAAGCCACCATATTTTGAACCCACGATCCAAGTTCATGTCATATAGGTTTGCTTTATGAATGACCTGTCTAATAGTCATCTTTTGTATAGTTTGGAGATTAGTTCAGTGTCGTTACTTTAATTCCTTCCAGGCTAAGCAGATGGAACCATACCAAGATATTTTCTGATTCTGGTGATGAAGAAATAGCGAACAGTGATGAAGACTACATGGATGCCCGGACAGTTTCTGGTAGGCGGGGCAAGGCTTCCTCACAGTTCAAATCAAAAGCATCTTCATTGCGGTTAGTTGTGATTTGGTGTTTATAATCTATTGCTGTATAAAAATTTAGTTTTTAGGTTGCGTAAGGAAAGGATAATTTAATTGTTGTCAATAAAACATTTTGCTACTAGTCGCTTAACTCAATGCACATTAATGTAATTCTTCAGGTCCAGGACTAGAGTGGCTAAGAAGCTGCCTGAGCACTTGATTGACCAATTAGAAGACGACGAGCCACTTGACCTGCTTGACCGACAAAGAACAAGGTCAGCACTCCGTTCAGTGAACTTAAAACGTAAAAATGCATCAGACTATGAACCAGAATTCGACTCCGAGGGGCGCCTAATAATTACCGAAGAAGGAAAGATGAAGATGGAAAAACAGCTCCACTCCAAGTCAGATACAATAAGTGAAGCGGGTAGTCATCTGTCCACAAAGTCGAAGAAAGCTCAGAAGCGGCAGAAAACATCAGACTCTGGGTGGGCTTACACAGGTAGCGAGTATGTTAACAAGAAGGCAGGTGGAGATGTGAAGAAGAAGGACAAGCTTGAACCATACGCATATTGGCCGCTCGATCGCAAGATGATGAGTCGTAGACCAGAGCATCGGGCGGCTGCAAAGAGGGGTATGGCCAGTGTGGTAAAGATGACAAAGAAGCTTGAAGGCAAGAGTGCTTCAAGTTTGCTCTCCGCTGGGGGCTTGAAGTTTAAAAGGAGCCATAAAAAATCCAACAAGAAGAAAAGCAAATAGAGAACCATGTTATATTGGATTAGAGTGTCTTCTCAAATAGTTGGGAGTCGTTTTGTTTGTAAACTTATTCCCTTTTAATTCTTTGATTGTTACTAGAGTACGCTTCTGGTATTCCAAAATTTTTAGTGTTTTGCATCAAATGGGTGTATATATATTCGGTTTTTGGGTGTAGCATAGCGTGTATAATGTCGGAGGAACATGCTATGAATTTTGCGGTTTTTATTGAATATTTATCTTTTGTAATCAAGTAAACAACAGCTATTGAGAAGAGAGAGTGGCCCAGTACGAGTTCCCGTCGTTCGCTTTTTCCTTTTTTAGTTGGCACTTGCATGTTTAAAACTTTTTATGATTGATTAGTTACTTTCTAAACTTTGAATTCTAGTAAATAACTCTAAATTTCACACTGCAGTGTTGCAGAGTACCTTAAAAATTAATTAAGAGAGAATTACTTATCTTTGCTCTATTTGGTAGAGGAACGGAAAGTAAGAATGATGGAGAGAGTTGAAGGAATGGAGACTATGAAGGAGGTAGAGGATGATAATAAAAAAAAAATCTCGTGTTGTCTGTTATGAGGGAGTTAAAAGGATGGATGATTAAAAGGATAGATGATAGTTAGTTGTTCGATTACTATATTGTTCATATATTATTTGGTAATAATTTCTTTTGAAGGGAAAAATAGACTTTTAATTTAAAATTTGAGAGATTTGATGAATCTGAGGGAAGGATCTAAATTGGTGTGGTTAAGGGGAGAGTCTCCCAGACTCCCTCAATTTCTCCTCTCCATCCCCTTATCTATCCAATCAAACAACGGAATTGTACTCTCTCCATCTCTCTCTCCCTTTACCCCTCTCCCTCCTCCATCTCTCTCTCTCCTATTAAACACACTTTACACAAGTCTTAATTTTTATTCATTATTTTTTATTAATATTTTTATTAACTAATATAATTATTTGACTAAAAAGATATTAAAAGTAAATAGTGAAAATCTAGACTTATTAACTCAATGAGGGTATTTGTCTCATTTTCTCTCAAATTAAAGATGATTTTAACCAGTCACATGCTCTAATACTCCAAGTAACCTAGGGGGGAAAGAAAAATTTTTTTTTTCCCTTTTTCCTGCTTAACCAGTCACATGCTCTAATACTCCAAGTAACCTAGGGGGGAAAGAAAAAAAAAATTCCCTTTTTCCTGCTGTGTCATGTGGAAGTGGCTCTCCACATTATAAAGACGTGCTCAAAATTACGTTACATGAATTGGGTTAAACAAGTAGACTTGAAATTTCAAATGATGATTAGAATATTTCATATGACGTACATTGGATGACATCATTCATCAACTCGACTATAAAAATTTTTATAAGAAAAAAGTATATGATTTATCATGATTTTGTGCAAACTTATTATTTGTTTTTTAAAATAATGGAGTATCATTGTGATTTTTAATTTTCTCTTTATTAATTAAATGATAATTGTTTATTTTTAAGGAGAGTAACATAAAATAAACATCATTCATCGATTCATTCATCTTTCAATTTAAACCATTCATTCGTATGGTGTAATGAAAGATAAGAGTTCAAGATAACTTGCATAGTCATTGAGAAAGAACTCATTCTCTAAAATCGGAAAACCTTATTTAGAAGTGAGAAAAAAGAGTATTGGCTAGTGTCGAGGAAAAAAAAAATCCATCTTTCATGTATGGAACATTCAGTCAGCTCATGTAATAAAGATCTTGAAGAAAATATAGTTGTTCTTTTCGTAACTTAAGTCATAAGTCATGAATCAAGTTCTATTGATACAGTATTTTAATCAAGTTCTATTAATATTATATTTTGTCTCCCAAAAATTCAAAATTAATATTTTTATTAATATTTCAATAAAGATCTTGAAGAAAATATAGTTGTTCTTTTCGTAACTTAAGTCATGAATCAAGTTCTATTGATAGAGTATTTTAATCAAGTTCTATTAATATTATATTTTGTCTCCCAAAAATTCAAAATTAATATTTTTATTAATATTTATCTCTCACATACACAACTCCAACTCAAGTTCTTAACTTGAGTTTTGAAAAGAATTCTTTTTTGAGTGCGTTTATTTGAGTAACTTGAGGGTGTAAAAGTGAGAAAATTCGTCCAAATTTTTCTAATCCTTTTTGAGTAAATTGATGTCAATCCGATCAGCCTATATGAAAACAGAAACCAAAAATGAAAACGAGTATTGTATTAGCAGGTCCAACATATAGCTAAACATGGATTAGGGATCTAAAAGCCTTGTGTGGCTACTTTTTATGAAAATAGGAAAAATATTTCCAGACAACAAATTAGGAAGCAAAGAGTGTTCCAAGTGATGCAAGCATTGTGTGGAGCTCTGAATATTTTTCTCATTTTCCATCCGAGAGGGTTGTCTTTATACTTTTCCCTAGAAATGGTGATGATTAGCTCAGCTGTCCAACCAGCTTTCATTTGCATGCCATTATATGCCCTTTTTTCCCCCAAGTCCAACCAAAGAGAAGATCACATACAAAAGGCGTCTAAGATTTTTCCCGAGTAACTGCCAGATTACACATGGCCAAGATACCGTCAAAATCCACTCATAATCCAATAAAAACTATTTACTTAATAAAACATCATAGTATTTGGCGTGAATCATCCACCTTTTGTTGTTATCTTGGTTTTGGTTTTGCTAAAGGAGAAAAGATGGTTCATGTATTATATACCTTCAGCGTCATTGCATCAAGGTCGGAGTAGCCCATTGGATCGGTCTCATTGGTAAGGGGAAAACAGGATGGAGGAGTTGTGGCCGCCAAAGCCAAATGAATTCGACAGCGCCACTTTAACTTTCAGTCTCTCTTTTTTCGGCCCCACAAGCAAACTCTTGTCCTGTGATGGAAGAGTTAGGAGGACGTTTGGTTTATGTATTCAGAATCATTCTCGTTTTACGTGTATTTTTTGTGAGAGAAAACACTGTAGAGAACCATGAATCATGATTCAGAATCATGGACGAATATAGGAAACAAACGTCCCCTAGATAATCCAATCAAACTTCGTTGAATTTTTGCATAGCGACGGTGACAAAATTTAATAGGCAAACATCACATCTGAATAAAAGTGGAATGAAGCCACATACCACGCCGTCATCGGGGTTTTCCAAGTTGACATTTGGATGGACCCATCCCGTTCGTATTGCCTGCACAAAGAAACAGAAATAGAACATGTCTAAAAAGCTGACATTTCACAATCAAAGGTAAAATTGACCTTGCACTTGCCCAACAAAAATGCCCAAACCATTTCTTTCGAGCTATTCCATATTATAATGATACCTGCACTGTTGCAACAGCTTCCACAGCGCCAGCTGCTCCAAGAAGATGACCAATCATGGATTTTGTCGAGTTTAAACGTAACTGCAAGAGAACAGTAGAGATTTTTTTAATGGTCTCAAGTTGGAAAATAAAACTTAGACTTGTACAATTGCAGTGAAGTTACCTGGGGATTCTGGCCAAAACAATGAACAAGAGCGTTATACTCCTTGATGTCTCCAGCTGGCGTGGACGTAGCATGAGCATTTATGTAATTTACATCTTCCTTAGATACCCCAGCCTGGGCTAGAGCCTTCTCTATGCAGAGTTTAACACCAGCACCTAGTGTAAATAGGAAAGAACATTACTAAAAGATCAGTCATACAGGTATACGTGCTTCAATCTCATAAAAATCTAGCAGATAAGTAGAGAAAATGCTCAATAAGTCATCACGATAGAGAGTTGTAATATTCGAAGACAGCAAATTACCATCAGGATGTGGCTCAGTCATGTGATAGGCATCACATGTGAAACTTCCACCAAGAAATTCAGCATAGATAGTCGCACCTCTCTTCTGTAGAATCAGAAACCATTGGACGCATTACTCAGAAGACATAAAATTAAAGAAAGGGTATTCGAGAGACCAGATATGTAGCAGCAACTCAACAAAACATAACTAAAGATCCTGGCAAAACTCAACCAATATTCCAGCATAAATAGGTAATAACAATCCAGCAAGAAAGAGAAATTCCATAGGATGTTAGTTAGATGTGCTTGTTACATTACCAAATCTATAGCCAAGTATGAAGCAAGGAACTAAATGGATAGACACAAAGTATCATTAACATGTGTTTATTGTGTTGAATTGAAATACCTTGGCATGTTCTAATTCTTCTAGAAGCAGAACCCCAGCTCCTTCTCCCATAACAAATCCATCACGGTTCTGTTCAACGACAAGGACCAAAAAAATATAAGTAAAAAGGAGAACCAGGGTAAGCATTTCTTTTTCCAATTAGCATAGGTTTTTCAAAATTGTAAGAAGTATAAAAAGCGAAGAAACTCAGATGTGAAGATTAATTATTACTCCTTAATAATTTCTTATTCAAAATAAACGAAGTGATAAAAACACTATAACCTCATGTCATGTTTTCCCAACAACATATAGAACAGCTGAACTAAATGATGCATAATGGTGACTAGGTTCCCGAGAATACCTAAACTTACCTAATTTAGCAACTACCAAAGTTCCAGTTTGTCAAATCCTAAATTTTAAGTTTGCTAATCTTACTGATATTCGAACAATTCTTATCTGCAGTCAATGATGGAAAAATAGAAATAAAAGGAAAATGCTTAAAGTGGAAAGGTTATTGGTAATATTACAATGTCCCAAGGACGTGAAGCTTTAGTTGGATCATTGTTACGTTGTGAAAGTGCTCGGCAAGCCACAAAGCCCCCCAAACCTGCACCGGTTATCGATATTAAAAAGTTAACAGTATAAGAATAATAGGAGTGCATACCATGCTTAATGAAGCCAAGCCAAATGCAATGCAAGGAAAAGAAAGAAAAAGTTACCAATAGGTATAATTGCTGCATCCGAGCCACCACAAAGCATCACGCTCTACATAAAATATGTATACACTTAATCAAAACTTTAATGCTACTAAGGTTTATTATATGGCAAGTATCTAATCTAACTTCTTTTTCTTCCTTCTCAAAGTTGTTCATTTGAAGTCCTTCATAGACTTGTATGAATCAAAGTTTCAATAAAGATAAGGAACACGACCATATTGTGGTTATAGATAAACTAGCAAAGAATGGGAAACACTTACTGCTTCACCTCTAATGATGTGGTTTGCCGCATTCATAATACAAAAGTTGCTTGTAGCACAAGCAGTAGAGATCGAATAATTTGGGCCCATCCAACCCTACAATTCAATGAGTACAAGACCTCAATTTAAGCCAAATATAAAAATTTTGATACCCATCAGGGGTTTTAGTATGATAAGCTTACCAGATCCATAGCAAGCATGGCAGAACCCATATTTGTAGTCGCAAAAGGTACACAGAAAGGATTCATCTTCCTATATGAAATCCTCAATGCTTCAATTGCATCATTAAAAACCTGTTCAAAATGCACAAAAAAAAAATAAATAAATAAGCAATCAACTGCTACATTATTTTATTCAGTTAAAAAGGAGGAAACTGCATCCTCGTCCTGTTTTCAGGTCATGAGCTTGGAATGGGCCTTTGTAGCTTAGAATTAACTTTTCTACGAGAGTTTCTTAGAGGGTCCCGTTTTAATTAGAACAGAGACATATATGCCTTATTTCACAAGCAAAATTCAACATTGAAGTCGAAGAAAATTCAGTGCATATTTTTGGATTGCAAACTAGACTATAGATTAGTCAGTCTAGTTGACTCAAACTAATTCTTTATTTTCATTGCGTATAGTAAAACCACAAAGTTGATATGGTTACCTTCATGCCACCCATTGCTGAGCCAATCAAAACTCCACATTTAGTTCTATCTAATTCATTCATTACATCCTCCGTAATTCCACCATCAGCCAAGGCTTTCTTGCCAGCAGTAAGCAAGTAAAGCATAAATTTATCCATTCGCTTGGATAGTTTCGGCGCAACCCATCCATCAGTCGAGAAAGCCTTGATCTCTCCTGCAATTCTCTAAAGAAAGGAAAAAAATACAAACAAACAAACAGACATATAATCAGAACAAAACGTAGAGCAAGCACTAAATCAATATATGTGCATTGTGCAATTTACCGTTGGGAATTGGGCACAGTCAAAAGTCTCTATCTCACTTATGCCGCTAACACCCTCAAGCAAGTTATTGTAGAAAACATCTGGATCATGCCCGAGCGGCGTCACCAAGCCCATCCCCGTCACAACTACTCGCCTCTGGTTCATTACTGGTTTCTTCCTTGAGGTCACTTCCTCGGCAGGTTGCACAGCTACAGCAACAGTCTCCCCTGCAATCGGAGGGCAAAACAGAAGAAGAAACATAGACAGGCAAAAAAATGTCAGCTTCTATATTATCAACTAATTAGTCAAAATGATTCTCTTAAGGAACAAGCTTAACTTCTACACCGTCACCTTTAAGGAAAAAAAAAAAAAAAAAAAAAACATTTGCATGTCAAGCAAACAAAAGTAGTTTTAAATAAAGGTCTTTTAGATATGATAAACCACTAGGACAATTAAAGAATACAGCTTAATTCATAACACATCATTATGACATGAAAAATTCGTGAGTTTCACTCAATAAAATGTTATGCTCATGGATTTTTGATAACCATCGATAATTCCCATGTTCCCATCAATAAAAAATTTGGATTCTTGAGAATGTTCCCATAACCCCCTGCCAGATTCGCATGACGACCAAAATGAATAACCAAACAAAAATATCAAATAATGCAATAAACATTTCCTTTGTCCCAAAAAACATAAAACAATAACAAACGAATATATTCCACTGAACCAAAAATCCTTGCGTTTTCACCCTTTCTCTATGCAACCAAAACGAAATATAACTATTACAGGACTCCGTAACAAAAACCCAGAAAGCCAAATAAAACAAACACCCTGAAAAACTCTCTCAAATGTCAGAACCCCGTAAACAAAAAGACAAAAAAAAAATAAATAAATAAAAATTGGGTCGTAACAGATGGAAAAACCAGCACAAAACCCCAGAAACACGAATTACCAGAATGGTTAGCTCGATTAATCCGCCTCTGCCTGCGATTGGAGGAACCGGTTTTGGATCTGAAGAGCGACGAGAATCCATTACAGCCCAAGGAAGAGAGTCCATTGGAGTTGTAGTACTCATTACAGGGCTCGAAGGCGAGGCAAGAGCTCATCAGACCCTGAATGCTCGATCCACGCATCAGCGCCGTCTTGAATTCGGCCCCGCATTTGGCGGCAGAGATTCTCCGCCTCCGGGCCCACCTGTTGAGCCTCTTGGAGGCCAGAGACGGCGTCGAGGGGTGGTCGCCGCCGCACGTGACCGACATGCAAGCCGCCACCAGCCACGTGCAGAGCGGAGATGCAACAGTGGACGCCGCCGCCATGGACGAACGATAACAAATACCCAGATGCTGAAACTGAAATCGAAGAAGAACCAGAAGGGAAAAACCTCGGTTCTGATCGAATCTTCAGTCGATAATGCGGGGGAGAAGCTCAAAATGACGATATGGGTTTGGAGAGAAAATGGAGGAGAAGAGAAGGGTAAAGAAGGGAATGGAAGGTGGTCGCATTCGATCTCTTTTCTTCTTTCTCTCTCTCTTGTTCTTGTATTGTTTTCTCTCTCTCTCTCTGTCTCTAGATTGTGAAGTTTTTATTTGAAACGGTCCAAGAGTTTTGTTGGGCAATCTGGAGAGTGTCCTCAGAAGTGAAACGCCAAGTGCTTTTCTTTCTCTTTCTTTCTTTCTTTCTTTTTTTCTGAGGACTTTTATTTTTTTCTTTCTTTCTTCTGAGACACACAGACTAAAATACAAATATGTGTAACTAATCTGTGACCAGAATAATTGTGTATAATATATATTTGTTTTCTTTACACTATATTTATATTGACCTTTTTATATTTATATAAAATTATGTAAAAATAAAAAATTACATAAATTTAAGAGTTAAAAAAACTGACCGTACTGTACTCACATACTAAAAAATCTCTCTATTTATTAATAAGGGTAATTGACTTATTTAAATTTAAATAATTATTTATTTTATAATTATTATAACATAAATACAACTATTTAAATTTAAATAAAATAATTACCCTTAGTAATTTATTTCAAAAATATAATAAAATATTAATAACGAAATTACTTTCTTTTTGTAATAATAATAAGAACAACAACAATAATTATAACTAATAAGATAGCTCTGTATGTAATGTTCATCTATCTGCAATAAAAAAAAAATGTAGATTTTTTTCATAAAAAATATTTAAAAAAATGAGTTTTTGGCACGATGGCTTTTAAATTTATTGTGGTTTAGTAAATTACTCTATGAACTTTTAATTTTAACAGTCAATTTTTAGACTTACAGATTTGTTACAATGTGACTCGTTTTATTAAATTTTTTCTGATTTTTTATTAGATTTAAAAGAATCAAAATTGTGTGCTATGTTTGAATTGATACGTTAGAATTTTTCGTCAAACATATTTTTTCAACACTAATTTAATATAATTATTATTAAAATGAGACATATTATAATAATTTTATAAATTAAGAGAACAGCTAATTAAAATTAAAAACATACAAATTTGGGGAAAGTTAAAAAAGACAGGCCCGTTCAGTTCGTTAATTCGAGTTTTTAATTCGAGTTGAGATGTGATGTTGTGTGAGAGTTTTTGACTGTAGTAAAAAAGTTAGATGTGACTATTTTTGAGAGCTTTTTACTGTAACAAAACTCAAATTCTAAACTTGAATCAGTGAAATGAACGGGACATTATTAAAAACGTACAAATTTGGGGGAAATACCATAAAAAAATATGTTCATGACTGATGTGAAATCTTGTCAAAATTATATTAGAGATGAATAATATAATATAAATAATAAATAAAAATGTAAACGTATCATGATTAAAAGAATATATTTATTTAGAAAAAGTCACACTTTTTTTTATAGAAATCGTTTTACACCTTAACATATAAAAGGAAAAAGTATAATATGATATTTTTTTGTAATAAATATAATATGATGTTTAATTTTTGTAACTGTGATTTTATTTTCAGGATAGAATTAACAATAATGTTGAAAAAAATAAAAATATGTTTATTTCAAACCAGTTACACTTTCACATCATACTATAAACATATTTGGCAGAATTTTTGTTTTTGTTTTTAGCTAGTAAGAGAAGATAATTAAAAATTATGGCTTTTTAATAAGTATTTGTAATCATTAATGGGTCAAAATATTTTTTAAATTTTCTAATAAACAATAAAAAGTGTTGGAATGAAGTTTATAACGTCTTAATAAAACTCTAGTATAAGTGTCAAAGTCTATTTAGAATTTTTTTTTAAAGTATTATTTTATGTCTTTAACTGAAATTCTTCTGAAAAGTCAAAATATATCTGACAGATCATCCAAACACTTTCAGCAATAACTTTTGAATCTGAAAAATCAAAAACAACTTTTTGTAAGATCTCTCAAACAAGCCTTATACCATTTATCTTTTTACATATTACATGTATTGTTTTATTTTTTTTCACGAATGATGGAAAATATACCATATTATTCATAAAGGACGTATGTTTAGATTAACTATAAAAAAACAGTACATGGTTTTTAATGAAAACGTGACATTTTCATAAACATTCATTGCTCAAGTACCCTAAGGCCCCATAAAAAAAAAAGTTACACATAAATAAATAGTGACTTTTCATCAGAACTTTCTGTTAGACTTGACTCGAAATTTATGTAAAAACTCTCAGGACTTGTTCATTTACATTTTTTAAGTTATGGTGACTTGAGTTCAGATATTGATTTGAGTTAAGGTGTATTTGAGTATAGTTTGAGTTGAAACTCTAATTTGAGTTTGTGTTTATATTATTTTATGTCTTTGACTGAAGCTCTTTTGAAAAGTCAAAACATTTCTGACAAATCATCTAAACACTTTCAACAACAACTTTTAAATCTGGAAAATCAAAAACAACTTTTAGCAAGATCTCTCAAACAAGCCTCGTACCATTTATCTTTTTACATATTACATGTATTGTTATTTTTTTTTTGCACGAATGATGGAAAATATACCCTATTATTCATAAAGGACGTATGTTTTAGATTAACTATATATAAAAAAAAACAGTAAATAGTTTTTAATGAAAATGTGACATTTCATAAACATTAATTGCTCAAGTACCCTAAGGCCCCATAAAAAAAAGTTGCACTCATAAATAAATAGTGACTTTCAATCAGAACTGTTCGTTAGACTTGACTCGAAATTTATGTAAAAACTCTCAGGTTTGTTCATTTACATTTTTTGAGTTAAAGTGACTTGAGTTCAGATCTTGATTTGAGTTAAGGTGTATTTGAGTATAGTTTGAGTTGAGACTATAATTTGAGTTTGTGTTTAGATATGCACATTTTGAGTTATGGTTTGAATTGAAAATCTATTTGAGTTTTGTGTTTGGGTGTGTCAAAACTTGAATTTATATTTGGATAGTATTTTAATAAAAACTCAACGGTGATGAAAAATTTTAATAGGATATATGGGTGGAGTTTTATTCGTCTTTTCATTGTGAACGCGTAGAAAAAAAATCAATGACGTTTTTTAGAATAGAAAAAATATTGTTCATTAACTCGAATCTCAAACTCAAATTTTATAAGAGAACATGAAATTAAATAAAATTATAACTTAAGTTTAAATTTTTTTTGAATTTTAGTGCAAATGAACAAGTCCTCTGGTTCAGTCACAATCATAAAATAATTGTTTATTTAAGTTTGAGAATATACAAACAGCATAGGAAAAACAATAACTATATGCCGATTATAAATAAATTAGAAAATAAATGGCTGCTGCCCAGTTTGGCAGTTATACAGTTTCTTGCTCATCTTGCAAATCTTACACTTGAAAAGACTGTAATGCCCATGCTTTTTATGTTTAATGGAAATATTAATATTGCAGATGCAATGGTATAATGTGACGTTTACAAACATGGGCGCTCAGTTGCACGGAGAATTCATATTACACCTAATATTACCCAAGAATCACCCCCCCCCCCCCCCCCCCCCCCCTTTGAATTGCTTTAAACTTTTGGGACGTTTGATTCATAGATTTAGAACTATGATTCAGAGCTATTTTCATTTTATGTGTATTTTTTTGTGATATAAAATACTGTAGTGAATCACGAATTATGATTCGAATCATGACACGAATCCCTCTTCTAAACGTCCTCATCTTCTAAACGTCCTCATCTGCTTCTTCTTTTCGCTAATCAATTTTTTTAAATAGTATTTACTTTTCTCTGAAATAAAATTCACTATTTACTTTATTTACAGGTTGTATATCCGAATGCTAGTTAAATTTTAACTTCTCATGTGTGTATTTCTATATAGGATTATTTATCTTTTTATACATTCTGATTTAAGTTTATTCAAAAAAATATACTCTTGAATTTTAACTTTTACAAATATATACCTTAATATGACGTTTTATAGACAAATTTGTACCTATTCACGATCAATATTTGAAAACCTTTGAAATTACTAGATTAATAGCGGAGTGATCTAACAGTATACGTGTAAAACAATAAAAAACCAAATGTCACTATCACTAAGATCAATTTAGGAATCTCAAATGTAATGTGATGGTATACATTTGCAGCAATCAAAAACAAAGAATATACGTTTTAAATAATCTAAAATACAGGGTATAAAAAGATAAGTAATCTTTTGTATATGTGTATATAGGACGAGTTTTTAATAATTACATTTCTATGGTACGTACTTATTAAGTATGGAAATTTAATAATGTGGTATAATAATAATTTAATTTATTTGATTGTCATAAAATTTTTTTGGTCAACTACCTAATTTATTATAACCGAATTAATATCTTATAGCTAAAATAATAATACATATTGATAAATAAATATTGAAATAACCATTAAAATTACAAAATTTTAACTTATTAAGGCCTCGTTCATTTGTGTTTAGATATGCACATTTTGAGTTATGGTTTGAATTGAAAATCTATTTGAGTTTTGTGTTTGGGTGTGTCAAAACTTGAATTTGTATTTGGATAGTATTTTAATAAAAACTCAATGGTGATGAAAAATTTTAATAGGATATATGGGTGGAGTTTTATTCGTCTTTTCGTTGTGAACGCGTAGAAAAAAAATCAATGACGTTTTTAAGAATAGAAAAAATATTGTTTATTAACTCGAATCTCAAACTCAAATTTTACAAGAGAACATGAAATTAAATAAAATTATAACTTGAATTTAAACTTTTTTTGAATTTTAGTGCAAATGAACAAGTCCTCTGGTTCAGTCACAATCATAAAATAATTGTTTATTTAAGTTTGAGAATATACAAACAGCATAGGAAAAACAATAACTATATGCCGATTATAAATAAATTAGAAAATAAATGGCTGCTGCCCAGTTTGGCAGTTATACAGTTTCTTGCTCATCTTGCAAATCTTACACTTGAAAAGACTGTAATGCCCATGCTTTTTATGTTTAATGGAAATATTAATATTGCAGATGCAATGGTATAATGTGACGTTTACAAACATGGGCGCTCAGTTGCACGGAGAATTCATATTACACCTAATATTACCCAAGAATCACCCTCCCCTTTGAATTGCTTTAAACTTTTTGGGACGTTCGATTTATAGATTCAGAACTATAATTCAGAGTTATTCTCATTTTATGTGTGTTTTTTTGTGAGAAAAAATATTGTAGTAAATCACGAACTATGATTTAAATCATGACACGAATCTCTCTTCCAAACGTC